AAATCCCTTCCGTTAAATCCGTACAAACGGCGTTAATAGAAGAGAGAGAAAAATAATTAACGCCGTTTGTACGGATTTAACGGAAGGGATTTCATTGATATAAATTTTATTAAGTAGGGACGTAATTGACGCACGTTTTAAATGATGGACTAATTTGACATTGTCGAGCGAAACTGGGGACAAAATAGGGTATTAAACCTTAATTATACTATATTATACTAAAAAAACTTGATTGACTTTTATTAAAAGTTCAGTATATTGTTTTATGGTTTAGTTTTAAAAAACTAAACTTATAACATTTTCGGTTCAGTTAATTCTGAAAATTGTATCTACTTTTTCTTCTTCTCCAGGTTAAGAAAACATTGCAAAACCAATACTTGGATCGATTAATTGTGCTTGCTTCGGTATCACAGATCCAAAATGGTGTCGTCGTCTACCCACTGTTTAGAGTTAAGTTTCGGGGACGCCTACCATGACATGACAGAATAAACTTTTCCTTATAATAAATAAAATAAAATAATGTTGGTTCAATTTTTTTTCCCATGAAAGAGGAGTTATTCGTTTTTATTTTTAATTTTTGTAATTAATTTTCTATGATTTTTTTCCCTTAGTTTTATTTCAGGTTGTTAAATATAACCATAATGTCGATATTGTATAAAGCCATAAAAAATACCATATTTATAATGTCACATTAAGAAAAGGTTTTGGATAATAAAACATGGGCTTAAATATAATTTTGTTTTTATTTTTAATTAGTGTATTTCACGTGTCGTTTTAGTTAATAAAGTTTTAATTTTGTTAATTTTAATAATTATTTTGTTCTAATTTTGCATATTATTTTTTATCAATTAGAACTTTTTGATATAACTTCTGATACATTTTCCTTAGTTTAGTAAGTCATATACTTCTACATAGTTAACTGTTACTTTGTTATTAGATAGTGTTAAAATCATATTCTAGAACTAGTGCAGTGTTAAAATTAGTACAATTCAGTTTAAAATTAGTACAATTAATAGTTCAGTTCAGTTTATATTGTAGTTTTAGTTTAGTACAATTTAGTATAGTTTAGTTCAGTTTGATATAACAAAAACAGTTCAGTTCAATTTGTCTGAACTGTTTTATAGTTTAGACAAATTAGTTTTAATACAACTTTTAGTAGTGCAGTTCAGTTCAGCATTTGTTTATCCCTACATGTATACACATGATCCAGGAATAATTCAAAACATGAAATTCAACCAATTGAAGGACATAATACTTGAAAATCCATGTCATTTGGAAATTGATATAAAATTGCATAAATTATATAATAGAAGCTGAAGAATCATTGTTGGTGACTTTCAACATCTTCAAAAACTTTAGATTCATCAATAATTCTCTCATGACCAAAAATATCTTCTACAATTTCATCTATCATAATCAATTGAAATACAATCAAACTACTAGTATAGAGTTAATAATTTAATATAAAATAATGTTAAAAATAATAACATATAAACTTACCATTAGGGTTTTCAGAAAACTCATACAACCAATTTTGACTACAAATCACATTTGCATATGTTCAGAAAGAATGGAACTTCTATATTTTAAAAATACATACCCATCAAACTGATTCTAATGTCACTGTAGCAATGAAAATAATAAATACATCTTGAATCATTATAAACAATATAACAAATTTTTTTAGTTTTTTAATATTTAAGCACGTCAAAATCTTCACTTTCTTCGTCATATTGTTGGTATTTTTTTTTTCTGTACAACCAATATGCTATTAGCAATGCCTACATCAACTTTTTGATAAGAAAAAATTTGTAATTACCAGTATTATTTTTCTCTTATAATCTTAATAATTCATTGTTGAAATCATTTATCATAGTTGTTAACCTTTAACTAACACTTTTAATAGCTTGTTACAACTTTATTATACTCTGCAAATCATTTAGCTTCTCCTAGAGCAATTTATCTTTTCAGTTCATTTACAACTTTTATAGATTATGATATATATATAATTATTATATATGATATATATATCATAATCACTCACAATTTATCCTTTCAGTTTATTTAATTTTTTTATACAATAACTTCTGCGCCAATAAAGATATAAGGATTAGTTCTTCATAGAACTTGTATTTTATTTTACTACTTTAAAAACAAAAAACAAAGGTTATCATGTCAACAGTATAAACATTTCAGTTTATTTAATTTATTTACACCATAATTTTTGTGTAAGTGAATATATTAAGATTAGTTATTCAGAAGTTTGTGTTTTATTTTACGTAATATGAAAGGAAAGGTTATTATTTTAAAATATAATTAAAAGTAAAATGGAAAAATAATTTGTATACGTTACAAAATAATTCTTTATTATATATGCTTATAAATTTTAAATATATATTATTATAAATACTTACGTATTTGTTTATTGATTTAAACATTTGTATTTATGTAATATTTTTAAAATAAAAAATAAAAAAATTTATTCTTTAGCATATGCAGTTAGTTAATAATAAAAACGATTTTTTTTATATAACTAACTTTTTATATAACCTTAATTTTATAAACATAATTCATTATCTGAAATATCTTTCTTTTTTCTTTTTAATGTTTTTTCTTACAAACTTTAGAAGACTCTTAAAAAAACACTCAAATTCGCTTATCATTAAATTAATTATAATTCATGGAAACATTTATTTATTTTAAAAGTTCTTTCTTGTCCAATGATAATTTAAGTTAATAATTTTTAGGTTTAATACCTCTTTTGGTCCCTAGAAAGGGGGCCAATGTTCAATGTGGTCCCACCTTTTTTTAGAAGTTCAATGTGATCCCAATGCTTTGGTAAAAAATGTCAATCAATTTCCTTTTGAAAAAAACGGCGTGAAGTTTTTAACGGAGCAGCTGACAGGGTGGACTGAAGTTAGCTACGTGGCTTTGTGTGGGTAATACGTGGCAGAGAGAGGGTGATACGTGGCTGGCTGTGAGAGGGTAAATCAGAAATTAGGGTTTGAGTTGCAGAGAAATTGGGATTTATTGTCGCCTTGCAGCCTGGAGAAAAGCCGAAAGAAGAGCACCACCAACAAGTTCTGCTGCCATGGTAGCAATTGGAAATGGAGAGAATCGAAGTGTGTAGAGCAGTGAAAAGGACTTGATGAAGAAAAAGTGGTATGCCCCAACTAAATGCACTGCAATGCAGATATTGGCCAACTCTATTAGCCAAAAGGGCTCGTAGAAGCCGAACCCTGTGAGGAAATTTCCTGGTGCATCATTTCCAAATGCAGCATATCCTATCATAAAATAATGTTGTCGTCATTATCCCAATCAAACTAGCTCTCTTCATCACTCTGTTCTCTGGTGGACTTGATTTCAGGGTGTCCTGCAACATTATCGACCACATTTATGTTGTAACGCCTTTTTAGAAATTCTTAGCCATCTTTGAAATCGGCGTGAAGTTCTCCTTTGTTGGTGGTGCTCTTCTTTCGGCTTTTCTCCAGGCTGCGTTCGACGAATGAAGAAGGCGACAATAAATCCCAATTTCTCTGCAACTCAAACCCTAATTTCTGATTTACCCTCTCACAGCCACGTATCACCCTCTCTCTGCCACGTATTACCCACACAAAGCCACGTAGCTAACTTCAGTCCACCCTGTCAGCTGCTCCGTTAAAAACTTAACGCCCTTTCCAAAAAGGACTTGATTGCACACTTTTTACAAAAGATGGGATCACATTGAACTTCTAAAAAAAGGTGGGACGACATTGAACATTGGCCTCCTTTCTAGGGACCAAAAGAGGTATTAAACCTAATTTTTAATTATCTCTTTTGGCTCGTAACTTTTCCATTACTCGCGCTAGAGTTGTTCACACCGGTTTAGATTTTCGGTTTAGTCCTGTTAAGCGTTGTTCAATTCGTTTTCGGGTCAAACTATCTGTTGAACCGAACCGACCCGATCTGCAGTGTGCTTGTTCGTCATCTCAGGTTTTGATTCATTTTCTCGCTGAAGCTATCGGCTCTGTTTTCAAAGACCATTTGTGAGTAATTTTGTGTTTTCTCGTTTGAATTTTTATGGCTTCAGATCTTAGATTTTATCAGAGTGACGAACCATAAGATGGTTTTGTCCTTTTTCATATATGAGTAGCAACTTAAAGTGTTTCCGCTTTCAGTTTTATTCAATTCTTAGTATATTTAGTATGTGAAGCCGTTTCCTTGGGGTGCTCCTGAGATGGTAATGTAAGCTTTTATTTCATGTTCTGCTATTTTTGCAGTATTGTGAATAGTTTACTCTGACCATTGCAATGCTATTTTTATTTATTGACATTTTCTTTGGAAAAACTAATGAAGTTTAATTTATAGATAATATCGAAAATGTCTTATTCAGAGACTGGGGAGAATGAGAGAGACTTGTTATCTAAGTAGTGTATCCTTGTTTATAATTTATAATACAAGACTAGATTATGGAAACCATTTAATTTTTTATAGGAAAGAGGAAATTTAATTTTTAATAGGAAACAGGAAATTTAATTCAGAGTTAAATAGCATATTTACGTAATATTGAGGTAAATGTGATTATGAAGCTGGCCAGTTCTTTTTCTGATGTACGTTTTGTTGTTAACTTTCAGCAATGACATCCTTAGATATTCGTTCACTGCTTGTATTCTCTGCCATTTTTCGAGTTATTTTGATTGTGTATGGAGAGTGGCAAGATACTCATATGGAGGTTAGATACACTGATGTTGACTACCTTGTCTTTTCTGATGCTGCTGCTTTAATGGCTGTGGGTGATTCCCCCTATAAGAGAACCACTTATCGCTATTCCCCTTTGCTTGCCTTTCTTCTCATTCCAAATTCATTTATCCATCGCTCCTGGGGAAAGTTCCTTTTCTCTGCTTCAGGTATGGTCAAGCTTTTGAATGCAATCTCTGCTTACATTCTTTTTCAGTCACCAAGTTAAAGCAAGATTGATGAACTATGTNAACATATATGAAGGCTTGTCATGAAATTTTGACAAATGTGCTGATGGGTCACTTGTACTGTCCATGTTTTTACATTGTTGTTTTTGTTGATGCATAATCTTGTAGCTTGAAAGATGGCTATATAGAAGTTCTTAAATGAATTAGCAGGCCTTAAAACTCGAACAACCTAATGACAATAGAGTTTCAAAATATTTAATCCGTATTGAGAATGAAATGTATCCCAAGTGTCTATTGGATTGCTTTTTTATTATCAGTGACTAATTTAAATAGCATATTCAATTAAAATAACTACATTTATCCTAGCTGGATAGAAGAGGTTCAGGACTGTATTGTAATCAATTCTTGTTATAGAATCATTCACATCGTACTAGATTTCTGTACTGATCATACTGACAAGTTAGTACATATTGACTAATATTTCTGGTTCCTTTATTTTTTTTTTCTAGATGATGATGGGGGACATAGAAGAGGAGGATACCACACGTAGCGGTCAACCTCGCTATAGCGGGATAAATTATAGAGGGGTAGTCACTATTTTAAATTTTTTATGTAGTTTATATCATGTATACTAAACACATTTATATTAACAATGATCTTAACAAAAAATACAAAAATATACTAACGAGTCAAATCAAGTTTCCTATATAGGAATAACTAATGATTCATCACTCTTTTTAAATCTACTAGAAGTTGTTAAGAGTTTGAGATTTAGAATATAATGTCTTTGTTTAGATTTTTTTTTTCTTTGAAATTAACACATGCTGCCGTGAAAATTGTTTTAGCTCACTATTTGGTCAACTATGACTGTTGCACTAAATTGCTGCACTAGCTTCACTATGAACTCCTATAGTTGACAAGGGCCACTCTCCCACTATAATGACACTAGCATGCTAAAACTTTGATCCTTGCTTTCATTATTATGTATGGACAGACATTCTGAAAGCGTACTTTGCCTGACAATGTTGTCTTTTTTTCAGTTAGACCTTTCTGCCATGGTTATGCATACATTAGTGAGCTCTATAATTTTTAAAGAAATACACACCTTTTATGTTTGTATGTCCAGTTTACAAAATGATAAAATCTTGGGTTCTTCTCGCCAATACGTTGCAATTGGTTTTTGGCAGGTGCAACTTTTCTCTCGTTTTAGTCTAATAGTAGCTGTATAGCTGTTTCTTTTGGAAGGAATACAATTTTTTTTATAATGCATCTAAAAAGTAAGGCTACGTGTGTTTATTCATGGCATATATGCTCTCTTATGTATTGATGTAACTTGAAGTTTCTTTCGAGAACGAAAGTGGAAAGCATAAAAATACATATACATGAAGAGCAAGAGGATATTTTCGCCCAATGAATAGGAAAAAGTTGCTTTGAGATGGAACAACCTTCACAACTTTCAGACGACTAAAGTGTCATTCCTGTCTAATATTTATATTGTACGAAATTTTAGTAATGAGATTCTAAAAGATAAATTAGCGATTCCCATTAATAAGATAACAAGTTCCATATATATTAAAAGAAAATAGATCTGTACTTCACATTTTAAAAAAAGTTGAATTGAAGCATATGCACTGGTTAATTGATTTTAGTGATAAAACAAAGAAGCAATTATTCTTTCAGGAGAACCACACAGCAGCTGGCAAATTAAATTCAAATTTAGGAGATGGTTAGCCATAATAGTCCCTACTTTTATTTAGGTTAAATTTAAAATTTGATTTGAACACATAATATTACATTTTTTTTATAGGAACATTTTCTGCTGAATACTCACACATCAGAACAACGTTAAAATAGTTTACCTGTAAAAAAAATGTTAATATAAGGATCAAACTGAAGTGTAAATTTGTATCACAGGAGAACTTCAACAAAAGAAAATATTGTTAACTACAAGGAGTATTTCATGTAAGAAACAAAGTTTAGACTTTTTTCATACAAAAAAGATATGATGTGTAATCACTATTTAGTTCAATTGAGCCTTATTTTCATTACCAAATTTTCAATTCTTTCTTTCACTTTGTGACAAAGGAAGAATGGAACTAAACTGGATGCTGTGTGTTACACATGCCAGGGTTCTTAACACACCAAAGTGGCTGAATTGGCTCAGCCCCTATTCCTCTGCTTACCATTCTGCTTCTCCATTCATTCAGTCTATCTGTGGCCTCTGCATATCTCTTCACCCCCTTTTCATCCCTATTTCCTGACCACAGTGACTCAGCCATTGCAGAAGCTCTTGGCCAAACTCTTCCATCCAAAACACTTGCATCAGCTTGTTCAGACCACAGGGCCACTTCTCCACCCAAAACCAACTTTGCTTCTTCCTCACTNGAAAATAGATCTGTACTTCACATTTAAAAAAAAAGTTGAATTGAAGCATATGCACTGGTCAATTGATTTTAGTGATAAAACAAAGAAGCAATTATTCTTTCAGGAGAACCACACAGCAGCTGGCAAATTAAATTCAAATTTAGGAGATGGTTAGCCATAATAGTCCCTACTTTTATTTAGGTTAAATTTAAAATTTGATTTGAACACATAATATTACATTTTTTTTATAGGAACATTTTCTGCTGAATACTCACATCAGAACAACGTTAAAATAGTTTACCTGTAAAAAAAATGTTAATATAAGGATCAAACTGAAGTGTAAATTTGTATCACAGGAGAACTTCAACAAAAGAAAATATTGTTAACTACAAGGAGTATTTCATGTAAGAAACAAAGTTTAGACTTTTTTCATACAAAAAAGATATGATGTGTAATCACTATTTAGTTCAATTGAGCCTTATTTTCATTACCAAATTTTCAATTCTTTCTTTCACTTTGTGACAAAGGAATAATGGAACTAAACTGGATGCTGTGTGTTACACATGCCAGGGTTCTTAACACACCAAAGTGGCTGAATTGGCTCAGCCCCTATTCCTCTGCTTACCATTCTGCTTCTCCATTCATTCAGTCTATCTGTGGCCTCTGCATATCTCTTCACCCCCTTTTCATCCCTATTTCCTGACCACAGTGACTCAGCCATTGCAGAAGCTCTTGGCCAAACTCTTCCATCCAAAACACTTGCATCAGCTTGTTCAGACCACAGGGCCACTTCTCCACCCAAAACCAACTTTGCTTCTTCCTCACTCAGCCCATATGTTATGTCATAGTTGTATATGGTTTGCCATGTCTTAAAGGGTGCACACCAAGACCCACCATTGCCTGTGTTTCCATCTTCTTGCTTGTCATAAGCACTGTTGTTTCCAACATAAGTGCCATGTCCACAATCCAGATAATAGAATTCTGCAGATGACACAATGGTTCTGTATCCTGCAGAAACTATCTTCTTAGTGTGATCATGTCCATTGAGCCATGTCTGCAAAATCACATGCTCCTTTGGAAGGATTGTGGATGCCACGTGCACTGTGTCATCTAGTAAAACATCTTCCCAATAGATAACAGTGCGGTTGAGGGAAACAATGTAAGGGAGGGTGTTGTTGATATACTTCTCAAGAACTTGGTTGAGGGTTCCACCATTTGATAGATGTTTCTGAATTGTGGAGTCAGTTTTCCAGCAACCTGGTACTATCTCATCAGCACCTGAGTGGAAAAATGGTTCTGGGAACAATGTAGTTATGTCTTGTATGACATTCTTTAGGACTTGGTATGTCTTGGGGTTTAAGGGGTTCAAGTGTCCTGTTCCTGGTTGTGAAGCTAGCCTTTCAGACCAATCACTTCCAGCTGGCCACCAGAACATGTTGGCACAAGTTACAATCTCAGGGTGGCCTAATGCCCATGATGCTGTGTGTCCTGCATATATAAGTGATTAGCACAGTTCTCAGAATTTCTATCTTGTGAAGTTAAATTATGTGTATGAGAAAAAAAAAATGTTAAGAAGTGGACTTTAAACTTAATTCAATTCTACAAAACTGACTTGTAAGGTGAGACATCTTATCTTTAGTCCATGTAGGATCTCCGACAAGAAAAGGTATGATTTTCAATCAAACATAGTATCACTGCTAAAACAATGTTTCAAACTTTGTAATCATACAAAAAAGCCTTGTTTATTGGCCTTATAGTTACACTACTTTTAAGCGAGGTTGTAACTACAAAGAATTTGGCATTCTAATGGTGACTTGCAGTTCACTTTTCATTCTTATTTTCCTTCTCTAAAAGTGTTCAAGGAGAAATTCTCCAAACATTATGAAATAAGAAGAAGAAAATACTAACACCTAAAATAAAGCTCCTGCCTTATTTATCAGCAATGGAGATAAGGATCATAGGAAAAAGGAATCTTTTAAGTAACCCAATAGTCATCATAGTGGGATCCCCATTAAGACATAAACTCTGCAAACTGGTTCACTTCATTCAACACAATGGTAGGATCCCATTCATCATTTTATATAAGATATCAATCTACTATTCAGGGTAATAGTTCAAACACATTAGTAATGAAAGTTGCTCTGCTGTGCAGAATGAAGAGAATGATCTTCCTAAACTTGTAACATTCTTTTGTTACAAAGAAAGCGTCTTCCTAACTTGGAATGAGATGCATAAATATTTGGTATCATCGTTATAAGGGCATGTCTCCAACTGCTATTTGTTTGAAACTTTGACAGGGTAAAATATAAACTTAAACAACATTATCACTTTGCCAGTTGTTTTGACAAACACACAAGCACCACAAAGTAAGAGTCAGCATGAACTTGACATGAAAAAAGTCAGTCAATGAATTAATGAAAAGGAAAAGGCAGAATGAATCCTCTCGTGCTCACACCTTGTGTTTATCTTTCTGCTTCTGCATACATGATTACACATTAAAATGGTGCAGATATATGTAGACACATCATTTGAACATAACCTTTCAGATACTAAAATGTGACGCGCCAAGAAAATGGTTTTGCAAGAAATTACAATTGGTTAATTACTCAACCGATTACTGCTATTCTTTTTTGTTTATCCACTATATCACGAAGTACAAAGGTTCATTTAAAAAAGCAACACCATCTAACCGTACTCTTCTATTTACACAGACAACAACTGTAGGAACAAGGAATTTGATCATATGAATAAGGAATTTGACTATGTAGCAACCATAACATACCGTGTTAGTCTAATTACTGTAATTTACAAACATCTGGTTTAATTCCTAGAAAAGACCAACATGGGGAGAGGAACAGAACAGCTAAGTAATCAGCCAATTAATCAATTCAGCACCGTTTATCAAGTTAGGAAATTTTCTAGAAACCAAGAAAAAGCCTCCAAAGTAAAAGAAATTGTTTCTAACCTGGTGTGTCAATCTCAGGAATCACACGAACCCCGTGATCAAGGCCAAATTCTACAAGTGTTTTCACATCCTCGGGTGTGTACACCATGTGAGGTGCATAAGCTCCCTTTTCAGCCAACGCAGGCTCTGAAGGCAGCACCAAAGGGAAAGATTCTGCGTCCGTGAGATGCAAATGGAGCACGTTGAGCTTGTTCATGCTCATGGCTTCCACTGTCCTCAACAAGTCCTTCACGGGGTAGTAGTTCCTTGCAGTGTCCACCAGCAGTCCACGGTGAACAAACAGTGGAAAATCCCACACTTCCACTCCCACTGCGATCTTCGTGGGACAATCCCATACGAGTTGGGAGAAAGTCTCCAAACCTCGCATGGCACCCCATACAGTCTCAGCAGTGAGAGTGGCATGAGAAGGGAGGATGGAGAGAGTGTAGGACTCGTTTACTCCGTGAACAAGTCCTGCATGAGGGTCCGCCACTTCAATACTCAAATTTTGCAGCGGTGGAAGGTCCTTGGAGATCTTGACTCCAAGAGGCACAAGAGGGTGGTGGTGCTCTGATTTGATGAGGGTGTGGTAGTGAGAGATGGCGGCAGAGAGGTGTTTGTTGCGG